AGTTCCTTGATATGTTTCTTCTCTCGCTTCTCCGCAGGTGATCAGTCGCTCCAATCGCTTAACTGCTTCATCATATGCTTCCTTGGATTTATCCAACCTCGTGAGCAAATCCACTGTCATCTTCTGCCCGTTCTCGTTAGAGTTGCGAAGTCCACCACAGGTCTCCTCCAACTCTGCACATCGTCCGGATTCCTTCTCCAGATTCAATTGCAGTACTTTGCACTCAATTTTCTTCTCTCAAAGTTGGACTTCTCGCTCCTGCAATGTCACTTCACTGCCGCGCACTCGGTTGCCAAGTTTGCCGCTCGCTCCCGTGCCAATTCAGTCGCGGAATCCCACTCCCTCTTTACTGCTAGTGCTCTCTTGAGCTGCGGTATATTTCTTATCATCTCTACATAAAATACTACCTCCTTGGACACAACATACTTCTCTCTCTTCCCATCCAGATACTTCAGTAATGGGACCACACTATCTTGCAAGAAGTCGGGGAAAGAAACGACTAACTCCTCCGGTTCCTCCTGCGAAGTCTTCGCCTCTTTTGCCGGCCTCACTTCTTCCGTAGGAGATGACGACAATGCACTGTTTGAGTCATCTACCACCGTCCCTCCAACCTGCGCAACAATCTGTTCCAATACTTCGTCGCTTAATGTTAGCTCATTTACCAATTCTTCGCTCTTCTTCGGATGTGGTATTCCTTCACTTCCCGCAGTTTGTGTCCGGTCCAAAGACAGAGAGTTTGGACTAACTCTTTCCATTCCCTCCTTCAAAGGTTCCGCCAGTGTTTCTGCTGAAACTTCAATCAATACCCACAAAGATCCTTCCCTCCCTACAGGCTATGTTGACTTGCCCACTGCGACTTTGGGTGTACTCACAATCGGAGCAACTGTCTTTTCTACGCTGCTATTCGATACTTCTGCTAACCTGTAACTCATGATTCACCCTTTTCTTTGGTCTTGCGCGAGTTCTCGACTGCCTGATCACATCTACTTCTGTTTCCGTTCTTCTTACTTCAAGTGCCAAATCTCCTTCGTCATCTCTCACTACTCGCCTTCTCTTCGCCACTCGTCTCTCCGACTTTTCCCCGTCTCCGCACAACCTCCACTTGAACTGGTCCTTGGGCTATCGTCTGTGATGGAATGGAGGGTCGACGGGTATCGTCCTCGGTCCCTTTGCTGGACTTGATCGTCAAGATTTCCCGCTCCTTCGGATATCGCTTCTTCTCCTCTCTCGTAAGCAACCCCATGCCTCGGTAGAAATCACCAAGAAGGAAGTGAGATGATTGACCAATGGTTCTGTCCACCGATCGGACGCATTCACCTAGACAAGATCGTGAAAGATCCTTGTCCAGTGTACTCCTTGTCCCTTCAAGATTCGTTCAAAGAACCCTACATGCCAGGCCGTCACATACGTTGTATAGCTGGTCGCAATATGTGCATAATTCCCAACGCTATCGCCCTTCTCTTCGGATCTATGTAATCCGCTGTCTTCCACCCGTTCGTTCCCTGTCTCCCAGAACTGAAGAGTGGTCCGTAAGAAAATTCTTCGGTGCACGTAAGTCCCACGCTACTCTTCTCAAACACAAGGTCTCTGTCGCTACCTACGCACGGTCCCATCATCTTCGTCCAATGCTCGATTGTCCAGAGCATGGGATTACTTTGAAGCTCCACGCCCTCGGTCTGGTTCTTATCCATTATCTCCTTATAGATACTCGCCGAGACGCAATTCCAATTCCAAAAGAGGAATTCAAGTCGCAACTCGCTCAGCTCGCGTCTGAAGGGTCGCAATTCATCGTAGGGCACCTTCATGAGAACCAATTTCCGCACCTTGTCACTCTTCTTTGGCCCCATGACTTTGATTCGCGTCTTTGCTGCTAGCAAGGTCGGTCAATTTCGCTCTTTCTCTCGCTCGCTCGTTCTTGCTCGATATTGCAATGTCGGCGCAAGGACTCCTCGTACTGCCCTTACCCTTGAAGCCCTAACATTGCCTCCTCACCTGCCCACTAGAATTTCCGACGCGTGCGAATGTCTCCCGGCCCGTTGCGCGATTTGAAATTGAATCCTATGTCTTCGCCGAAGACGCAGCTCTTGCAAGGCCCAAAAAGACGGCGATGAAGATCCAAAGATCTTCGGACGTAGACGAATTCTAACTAATCCTGTCATATCTCCTCCTAAGCTGCTCATTCTAACTCGTACAACTACTTTCTAGACAAATATCTTTTAGTTTTTTTGATTTTTAAAGAGAAAAACAAAAAACCTAGACACCACATCCCATCATCATGTAGACTACTTACTCATGTGAATCCCTCCATTCAATGTCGTTGATGTTCACAAACTTATCTCTTGGCCAACATAGCGAGGCCCATGGATCTCAATTTGTCTTAAACTTGCTTTCATCAAAGCAAGTAATCATCTTGGCCATTTAAAGTTATGATGCTATACCATGATTTAGAAACCTATCTTGATGCCATCGCCTTCCGTTGAAAGCTAGAACCAATAGCAGCTTTCGCGGTAATTTTGTCCTTTTGAGTAATTTTTTAATGAGTCGCGTTGAGAGCTTTTCGATAATATACAATTTGCTTAAATTCCGACAAAGATTTTATCGGACAAAATATTTTGGGATAGAATATTTTTTCAAATAAAATATATCTTACATATGGAATCTTTGTTTGAAAGCTATTCACGTTTGCCCGACTTGCCCGCCGCGCTTGGCAAAAACTGACCGTCACGTGTTAGCTTACGTGTCAAGCCATGTGTGTCTCTGTGCCATGTGTTGAGTCGTATATGTCATCCATACATACGTGATGTTAACCTCTTTTGTGAGCACCACATATTGACTGACAATTAGACTGCATCGCACCTCACATCATGAATCTGCAATGATCCTGACACGTGTCGGCTCCTCATCGTTTCCTGGCCTGCGTTACCTTCATGCTTTGATGTGGCGGAGCCACACGTCAACACCTCACGCGTTTGGATGTTGACATGGTGCTTGGAGGGTGACATGTAGGGTTGGAGGCAAGACCAAATTTTTGAAGGCATGCCCGTGCCCCCATGCATGCCTGTATCACAATATGTATATTTCCAATATTTACAAAGTATACATAAATTAAGTATAATACGTGATCATACATATAGTAAGTAACTTTAACTAAAATATAATCAATATACAATTAGTTATAGTTAGAGTATACTGAACGATGCTTTACAATTTATAGAACTTCCCACCATATACTTTGAGATGATCTCCACATGCACTATACAACTACATCACATTCTAAGTACTAGACCACTACACGAGAGAGTTTCCACATTTTCACTACACCAGATTCTGAGTGCTGTTTCAGATCTCGCAGACATTTCATTGCTGCAGACCATATTTAAGACCTGGGATTGAGTTCATGAAAAGTTTTGCACCTGAATAGAAATAAAAAAATGACGCATATACGAATATTCCAAAGTTACATTATGATTAATACGTATATACATACAGGCATGCCCCGTATACAAAATGCAAATAAGGCATGCCCCTGGGCATGCCCCCATGCCCTCGCCCGAGTGCATGCCTTTTTGGCTGTGCCTCCAACCCTAGTGACATGGCGTCGTTAAGGTTGGCGTGGCAAAATAGGAAGGTGTGATGTGGCAAAAAAGTGCAGACTGATGTGTCGTGAGAGAGGCGACATTTCTCAGAGCTTTTTAAAAAAACTTGATTCTAAAGAAAAAATTGCGTGGATAAAAATTCTAGATAGAATTTGTGCTAAGAATAAGAATGTATTGAATTCAAACAGCATTTTGAATAAACACTACAATTTAGTCTGATACTTTGAAGTGTTTAAATATAAGAAAAAAAAGTCATAATTGATACAAGATAAATTTACTCAATTAGGCTTTCGGAACAAAATGATGTATACTTTTAAGTCATTATTTTGTACTTTTTGAAACCACGACTGCAAGCATCTATGTCATATATTGATGGTTGTGTGTTTGTAATTCTATCCAATTGGATATATTACTACAATTTATACAGTCATCTTCCGACAGCGATAGTCTAGAGTAATTGAAATAAATGTAAATGCAATAGTTAGCTCCAAATGCCTTTAATCCATTCTCTCTTGGAATAAACTTGATTTGAATAGAATTCTCACTCCATCGGTGTAGTAACGTTGTTACATCTCCAAAGTCAGCTTTTCTTCAGTAGAATTCAACAGCGGTATAACATAAATCTGGTAGTGCTCACTAAGAGCTAGCTTAGCCATATGTGGACATCCTCTATACACCCATATACATTTGGATTCCACACTTACATGTACATTGAGACAACTCATTAAACTCCATAACCACCAGCATCACCATCTTCTACATTTAAGTAAAGCACAAAAGACATGGCATGCGGAATAGTATTTGGACCTCACTTAGTTGCCATCATTTTAACATGAGCAACCTTGGGGACAGCCGTTTCTTCAAATCTTCTTTGCCCAGTTGACCTTTATCTTGGATGGGCTTCACGCAGAATTAATATTTGATGTCAAACTCTTCTCTTCTTGAGAAATTACTAAGGCCATTAAACCCAATCTTCTACTAGTACCTTAACAAGACGGATTCAAGCAAGTATCGTGCTATTATTCTTCAAATTTAGTTTCCATTTGGAGAACTATCATGTCTATTGAGAAGTTGGAATTGAAAGTTGCTCAGCTGTGCAGATTGCAACCACAATGTTCCTGATGACTAGAGAATTACTTAGGTTGATCCTGTAGATTTAAATCTCCATACGTTGATTTGAGGTCTTCTTCTTGGGCTTTAATGGAATTTCTGAGACGATTAAAACATCTACATCATGCGTTGATGCACACTAGTAGGTAAAGTGACAGTCCCGTCGGTTTTTCAGAGTGAAGGGATTGAATACGAAGTTCCATCCACAGTTGCCTTTGGAAATTATGTGATTTCCACTTTCAGGTCACAGTAAGTCTTGGGAACACAAGTGAAAAAGAGTTTCACACATTGAAGTCGGTGAAAGTATTTTGAAAAGTTTACATGTATGGAGACAGAAAGATAGAAGGGTCACGGCGAAAGGAAGAGCTGGAGTCCCTGGACACTTTTTGTGCAGCATCCAAGGAACAAGTGTAGGCCCTCTCCACACTATAGCTATTCAAATGACGATCTGCTCTCACGTGATGGGTTCATCGATCAAGAGCAAATGCGGAGGCCCAGCGAGTCCTAGATAAGCAACAGCTATCTTTCTCGTTTGATGCAAAAGATGGACCGGCCTAGAGCTGGGGATCCGTGACCCTTGTGAAAGACATGTGACAGACAGCAGGAGACGTGAAAGCACACCAGAAAGAAAGGTGATCACTGACCCGTAACCTATTGCCCTCAACATTTACAGCATTATGCGAACAGGACACATGCAATCCCACATGCAATCCCACAGATCGAGGCGATGAGCTACAGAAGCAGTTGGTTCTTAACAACAGTGGCAGCTACCCTTGTGAGATGATCTTCCCTTTCCTAGAATCATGGAGAGTTCAAAGGAGAGGTCGTGACATCTCATGCAGAATAGATTAAGGGGTGAGGATAAATGGGACTCATTCCTCATCCCTTAACTCTGTACCGTAAGATCTGGCATTTCTACTAGTACATAGTCCACGGTTCTCGCTTCATGATTGCCTTCGTATGCAATTTTTAGCGCTATACTATCTGGACTTCATCGTTTCTAACTAGAATATACACACATTACCCGTCGATGTTTCGAATCATTGTGTACACGCAGTTTTTTTTCTCGTCCTGCAGATTCAGATTCTGCACAGGACAAGAACCAGGTGTTTCCGCGCATTGGCCAGGTCCTCCACGAGAGTCTTGTTCGTGAATCCTTCAATAAGGGCTTGTTTGTATCTCTGCATGAAGATGTTCGTATTTTGTGCCCCAAAATGGGCTTTGATTAGGTTACCAACAGCACCTTTCATCACGGACGTTATTCGTTGTGCCTTTTCTTCCGCAGTGCTAGCTGGATACAAGAAGAAGGAACTAGATAGGGGACTAGGATACACGTCTCTTTTCTGAACTTTGAACAAAGAAGTGAAATTTGACAGAACTTTGTCAACCTCATTCAAAGTTCGGTAGTATACATAGTTGTTGTGAGAATCCCTCAGCTCCGAATCCACTATACCCTGCAGAGGCAGAGAAAAATCATTACACTCTAAATCACAACATAGGAAGGTGATAACGTGTTGATCTTCTCCTCTATACCCCAGATACCTGACCCAAACTCTACGTCTGATATGAAAATTTGACACAACTACTTTAGCTACAGGGATTCCCTGAAATTCGTGCCTCGGCACGAATTTCAGGGAATGCAATGTAATGTTCAGATTCATTATGTAGATGTTTGAATCATCTGAGTATGTTGTATACTTATCTATTACCGTGTCTGTCTTAAGATATGCAAGACTCTACTCATAGCCAATGGAGAACACTAGGTTGAGTTTCATGGGTGTTTAAGAAATAGTGTTCTCTCCATGCAAAATTAACATTTTAGAAAAAGATCTTGAATCGGCTCATGACTTGAAACAGTTGTAAATTGGCGAAATATGTATATTATTTAAGTTAGCCAAATGACTGCATTTATATACTTCCTAACAGCTGAAACAAGTGTTACGGATAAAGAATGGTACCTCCAAAACGAGATCGTTCCAAATTTTATCCTGTACTTCGAGTGTTGGGCCTACTCGGTAAGGATAATAATTTCCACGTAGACCAAAAACCAGAAGCATCGATCCTCCGGAAACCATTTCGACCGCTCTTGCTGTAAGAAAGGAGCTTAAATCTCTGTGAGACTGCTCAGCATAAGCGTCAACTGTTGCAAGGCTCGAGCATCCCAACTGAGTGTGTCCACCGTTATAAGCCGGAGATTTTTTGTCGACAACTGCTGCAGGAACCTGCGGTATTTCATTTTTATGACATAGCCATTTCAAATCAACTCGCTTAATTAGACCAAGTGTGAGTAGGCGCGCGCTACTGTAATCATAGGAATCGACTGGAAAGTAAGATGCAGAGCGTATATATTTGCAGCAGTTCAACATGAGCTAAACAAGACGCAAAATTATATACCACCTAAGCAGTGAATTTCTCAGCTGCTAAGCAGAATTTGATTTTGAAATATATATCTCGAGGTTGACACTACTCGTCAATCATATTTCCAAACATGGGAGGACTGGAAAAGCAAGTAGACACCTTGGAAATCCAGTGAAGAGCAAATGTAGACATAGCAAAATTGATACTCGCTCTGGGGAAAAGACGTCCATAGAATGATCCAGGGACACCGGCGGTGAAGTAAGCGGCATCTTCGACTTGACCACCAGGAGAGGTCTCGGCCTTCTGATCTGGATCGAGAAGCCGGAACAAAGTGTTGAAATCCGTTCCTGGCAAGTCTTGGAAGTAGGCTTGGAATTCAGGTCCCTCGGTTCTGCCGAATCTCGCTTTCATCCGGTTAATGATAGCGTCGACATTCTTTATTGCGTTGGGACCTGACGAGCAGCCCAAGTCAGCAACTGAGATGACACCTTGATCAGGAAGGTTAAGGCTGTCAATCACATCAAAGAGCGTTGGAATTAACCGGCTCATAAAATCTCCCTGAGGGTGCGAGTTGCGTGCATAGCTGTCCACGCCGTCTCCCGTGCTCATGAAAGGTTTCTGAGCTCTCCAAGGAGATTCCAGTGGACTCATGATGGTCGTCATTCCACAGAATGCTACCAAATCTGAATTAGCTTTACATGAACTCCTGCTTGCTGTTGAAGACCGTCTCGACTGGTATCAGGAGACTACTAGTTTGGAACTGTAACCATATATTTTGAGGCTGGAATTTATAGACTCTCGTACGTCGACCTGCTCCGTTTTTCCGAACATACAATATAACGATGTTCACTAGCTCCACGAGTCCATCGTTCGTTATGGAATGCTCAGACTTCTCCACATGACTGTTTTTCTCAATCTCAAGTCTAGAACTTTGTGTAGGAAGGTCGGAACTCAATTGCATGCCATTTCCCTCTGAACTGTAACAACGAACTTGGGAGAAGTACTACGTCAGTATTGGGAATACGGTATCTCTCGATTGACGGTTATCACTGAAACGCACGACCATAAGAGTTCAGTTGGAATCGTACAAACGCGAAGATCGAGCCGGAAGCTTAGAGTTCGATGCAAGTAGAGCTTGTCTTTAGTAGGAAATCGTACAGGTGACGGAAGTAAAACTTGGTTCAGTTATTTAAAAATTACTCTTCTACACGTTTATTTGTTCAGGTTTTATGAAATACCCACCGCACCAAGTAAATGTATTTATAATGAAATTGAATGTTGGAGTTCTGACTATTGACCTGAAGGTAATGTAGTTATAATGATGTGTATTAACTGGGTCAAAGGGCAACACACTGCAGCAGCTTAGACACTGGAGGGAACATGAATTATGAGGGGAAGGCATACAAGCCCACACAACGGGGGAACATTGTGCCCCAGCTCATAGGAACGTGTAATACGAACCTTCTCGTGATGGCTTTAGGTCAGCGCCACTTCAAATTGCTTTGGTGACTTTGACCTGGGTTCAAACTGTGGTCCTCAGGCCAGTGACGTCAAAATTCCAGAACAAAGCACAGAGAGAAATGCCGGGCACAAAGTCCCTGGAAACAAGAATCCCAATCCTCATGAAATGAGCACTACTCAGAATTAAACATGAGTATTAAACAGAATTGAGTAAACCATATTCATCTGACCTGATCAGAATTTTTTTAGTGCCTTGAAACTTTAATATGCAGTGGCCAGCTTTTGTCAACCAACTTGTAGATGGGTCCAAATTCTGTGTACTTGGACAAGAGGCCTATACTCCAGCACCTGTACCTACATCTGTCAAGTGAACTGTAGATTTGTAAAGTATACTGCTAATTTAGACTTTTTAAAATATCGAGCTCCAACTGTAATACCTGCGATGACCATCCAGGTCGTTATCCCAAGCAACTAGTACTGTAACTTGCATCTGTCTTTATGATCTTTAACATGCAAGTAAATACTTTGGGATCTTTAAATCCCCAGTAGGATGATGAGCGTCATCACATTCATTATACTTCCGGTACGAACGATACAAAGAGGAATTAATTTACCAGCATACTTAGAACTTACAACTCTACGGGTCACCTGTGCGTACATGGGATTCCTGTCCACTGGCAAGTATTTGGTCAGGCCCCGCATGGAGAGAGATCGAAAGTAGTGCGACTCGCTTCTGCGATTCTGATATTCTGGGATCATGTCACGCATCCCGCAGCTTGAAACCAGTTCATATGTACATGTCCGAACACATGTGAATTCCTAGTGCGGGTCCCTCCGAGGGGAGGTCGACTGAGTGATCACCTTTGTATTCGATGCTCCTACTAGAGCGGCGGCAAAAGATCGACACTGAGCAGTCTGGAGTCTGCAGAGCCGGAATACCGGTAGTTGCAGCAACTGGTGGGTGCCCCATATTTTCTGGAGCCTCCCCTAGAACTCGGCAGCTAATCACCCACCTTTGCCACTGATGATCAACTAAGAGTGGCGTCTAATGGCAGCCCAACAGGTTCGCAGTCAGCAACAGTTCCCACCTGCACAGCGCCGCACCTCGTTACCATCTCTCTAGCGTGTCGCGCATCCCACAGGAAGATGAGCCGAGTCCCAAAAGTCTTCTGCATGCAATCTTCTCGCACCTGCGAAATCGCTTGCATCTGGGCCTCTACGTCGTCGGACCAAAGCTGTAGAGCCTTTTCTGTCGATATTTTATGTGCAGCTTACTGTGAGTAATTCTTTTCAGTGGCAGCATAGAGCGCTAGCGAGGTTTGTCACGGAAGAATGGAAAAAATTATTGTTGGGACTGAGATTATTGCTCCCGCTTGCGTGTTGAAACTCGAGACGAAATAAGAAAATTTATTGATGCAGCTTTTGAGAGGTGAATGTCGCGGTCGATCACTACTGCGGGACTGTTCAGGGTGGACAAACATCGGGTTTCGAAACTCAGTGCAAACTCAGGCAGCTCGGTGGTCCACAATCACACGAAGTCAAAAAGCCTACTTCAGGCAAGTGTGCTGAGGAGCTAATTATAAGTCATGGAAGTATGGAGATACGCAGATCAGGCCAGCAGTGACCTCCAGGCTTTTCCCACAAGTCAGAGCGTGCATTCAGGCAACCGTTACACAAGCAGTCAGTAAAGAGTGTCAATGCGCATCCAGTGCCCGAAATCCGCATGAAAAGCCGGACCAGAGTAGACAATATGGCCCCTTCCTGCCTTTTCCACACTAGGCATCATATGCTCTAGCTAAACAGACAATTCAAGCGAGGCGGATTTGCAAAAGACAACAGCAGTTGGAAGTTTTCGCGCAGGTACAGTGTGGACCACCTATGGCTTCGTAAAATACGTGAATCGTGAAAGAATATAAAAGGAAATATAGTAACACTGTTGGAAGCCTCGATCGTCACATATCAAAACGTTGCTCTGTTTAAATGAAGCCCGGGGCCGGGAGCTCACAGTGTTTTCACAATGGACAAGTAGCTACCGACAGGCGATCAGTTGTATCCTCACCAGATTTCGATTTTGGGTCCTTACCGTACTTTATAATAACTCCGTAAATTAAGGACTCCTTCGTGAGATGCATCGGCTGTAACCTAACCTGGAACAACTCGCAAGTTCTGTGTAGCAACGTTTAAACTCGTTACTCGAGAATCGATGAACGAGGATGGTGGACTCCTTGGACTCGAAATTACTCCTCTCAGCTCCCAGCAATGGGTTTTCAAACCCACCGCTGTGCAAGCGCAGGCCACAGTTTATGGAACTTATATCGCTTTGGTAAGCAATCCTGACTGTTTTGAGCATAATTTGTTTTACCGTTTCCCGCTTTTAAATTTTGGAATTGGATTTCTTGTCCACTGCAAATATATTGAACAATGAAAACTTGAACAGCTAAGGTGAGCTACGATGGTTGTCCTCTTTTACGGTTTTATGAACGGGGTTATGGGGATTGAATGCCGGAATTCTTCTGATCCACCAGATTCATTGTGGGGTTTGAGACTTAACAGACCTTCATTAAGCAGATGAAAGTGGATATGAATGTTTTGAGTTGATTTCGTGCATTATATTTCGCAGTCAGCATCTGAATGGCTTGATCGAGTCGACAGATCACAACTGGTATATTTCTTCTCCTTCGTGCATGTACTGCATTCTTCCAAAAGTGGAGATTACCTACCTGAACCAAGTGGGGACGAAATCCTAAACTTGGAGGAGCTAGATTTCCTAGATTTTATCATGTTCAAGTACTGTTTGTCGAAATTTTCTCACAAAAATTTGTCCATCGCGGCTTCATGTCAGAGTAAACACCTTTCCTGTTTCGATCCCTCATACAATAATTTCTCGAGAAAAAATTTATGGGTGAAATTCAAAGATGGTGCTAAAAGCCATAATTCAAACGTGGACAATTACGAAGTGATTCAGCCCACACAGTTGCGGGTTTAAGCATTACCCCCAATCACAAAGTCCTCAAACTCTACAATTCAAAATTCAATTCTGCATGGGAATAGTGTTCCTTTGAGTCCCTGAGAACATGAGTCGTTTCAAGATCGTCAGACAGCAGTTTGAGAGTATGTTCTGGCAAACGTTATTCGGGCTCAACCGTCGCTGAATTCGAGTTGCAAACATGTTCAAGTATTGAAGAGTTAGCAATATACCTTTCTAAATGCTGTGTATGCTGGATCCTCCTCGTATCAAAGTGTCGTGTAAAAGGGAACATCAGAATGTTTTCTTTATTGAAAGTCCTAAGCCTTTCTTTAGGAATGTGAAATTGTCTCAGTTTAATACCTATGAATATTTAGTCGAGTAGTTCAAATGGTTGGCTGACTTCGTCCAGGCCTGAGAGTATCGCATATTATCTAGAATGAATGTGCGCCTAGCTCCATATCAGGTACGTGTCATGAAGCAGTAGCACCTACAACAGGCAGGTGACCGTGTTGAAGCTCCAATTGATTTTATTCCGATACAATGAGGTGCGTGTTCCTCAAACTAGAAAGCAAGAAACTGAAGAAATGAGGATGGATGTACGGTTGTTGATCGAGGTGGACATTTGAAAAACGTGCACGCACGTATTGCATGGAATGTTATTTTTTAACCTTCAGATTTCTTTTTTGGCGGCATGTTTCGACCTGGAGCTATCTTGCGCTCTTACAGGCATTGATCCCCTGCAGTGCCGCTGAGGTGGAGGCAGCCGGGTACCGAGTCCGTTATCCACGAGGGTACTCCCGTTTTGATATGCCTAGCCCGGATTCCAACACGGGTCTGGGTGGTCCCAAACAACCGTGCTACCGAGCAAACTACGCTTGGTCATACAAACTGAATCACTGGACCGCAGTCTCGAGACCAAGGTCCGACTTGTTGACTTGCTGTACTTAGGTGTGGCCACAAATATCTGTGGGGCTAAGACCTCGAACCTCGCTGGAAGTGTCACGTACGCAGTGCTAGGTCTATAAGCATGTACTCAGTGTCAGAGCGCGCTGGTCAAGAGCTTCAAGCAGCAATAGTTTCCCGGTATAAATCAATGGCACATTCCAAGGTTGATATCAGACTTTACACAATGAAAGGAGATTGTGCTGGTCCCAGCTTCTGGCATAACACAACGTGCATGTAAGTGACGACATTGCATGTGTGAATTCCATACTCTGTGATTGCAATTGAAGCACTGAGACAGCTGCCATCTAAGGAAGATGTCCACAGGACTCTAGCATTACGATGATACTGAGGGACGAGCGAGATTTTACGCCGAGCTTAGTTCCGCAGTCATCCCGTGCTGTCAGCGAAAACTACAATTATCTACATCCCATGCCACATGAAATTTACATTGCATTCAAAGTCTGAGTCTTATGAATCAAAGTTCACTGTTGTCATGTTGTCATGTTGTCAGGTCAAGGTATCACAAAGACATCCAGGCTCCTGCAGTATTCTGCATCATCACTGAACCTATGCTCCCTAAGATAGTTGTGTGTAACTACCGACCTTCAGAAACCTAGAAAGTCATAGATTTCTGAAACTTCTACATTCATTGTCAGATCAGCCCTTCATGATATCATCCATTGTTATGAAGACACCCTGCATGGCAATAGATATCATTGAGCCACAGTT